TAGGAAAATTATCCCAAAAATGGCTTTTGATTAGAGAAATTTAGAAACCTGGATTAAAATTAAACCCTGGGTTAGAGCTAATCGGCCTTTGAACAATTGGGCCCAGAGCAACAGCTTCTTGTTGACTGTAACTGATGATTCTGACTGTTTGGGCATTTATGGCCAGGTTACTGAGGTTTTTTTTTTTTAAAAAGGTAGCTCTGCTGAAAGTCAAATGTTAAGCAGATTTTGCAATTTTCCAGACATGTTTGAATAGTTTGGTTTCTTCTTAGAATTTCAAAATATGCTCAGAAGTAAATTTAATTTAATTATTTTATAATTTTATTGGTAAAGATGAAAATCATGATTGCTAGAGCATAGTTCCTCTATGAAGTGGGGTACTTGTAATCATTTATCAGTCAGAGGTCATGACATACAGGGTGAATTGCTTTAAGTATCCAAACTCAAAGTGCATATGAAGGGCTTGTGTGTTTGAACAGGCCAATTTCCCTTATTCATTTTGGAAGCTTTTAGAGGTTGGAATAATTGTTATCAACACACACACACCAGACCTAGTGTCCATTAACATAGACATTTGTCTTAAATGAGCAAAGAAAAGTGCATTACATAACAATCAATATGCTTACTTGGGTTTAGATGGCCTGGCCACAACAACTCATGTTAATTGGTACTTTTTTCAGCAGCCATTCTTGATTATTGGTGACTACAGCATCACTTCATTTGTTTATTTAATTTGTTAGACGTATTTCTCCTGTAAGGATCATATACGTACACCAAACATCAATTCTTGCCTTAATTATGACAAAGAACTCAAGGTGTATACTTCATTATTTATAGTCAAGAGTAACAAGTTGGATTTAATTTTTTAAGATTATGTAATTGACAGGCAACGGGTTTTTCTGGAAAGAGAGTACAGATTACGGTAATCTCATTAGGTATTTTCTTAAGTTTGAATTTGACTAAACTGTTATTTTTCATGGGGCAGGAGGAGTGCTGGTTTGTGCTACAAACTCTCTGCTTTACCTCAATCAGAGTGTTCCACCATATGGCGTGTCATTAAACAGCATTGCTGAACACAGCACAGACTTTCCTCTGAGTAAATACCAATTTTTTATTTGTATAAGTGTAAATTTTAAATGCTTAATATAATAGTTGGTGGGTAGAGTAGTTGGAAAGGCAAAGTTTGTTCCTTTAAATTATTCCACTGAAAAAATAAAAATTTTTACTGAGTTTGAGTGAGGCAGGTGTTCTTAATCGGTGGAAACAATCGCCTCCCGGTTAGTTCAATGGATAGAGCGCTGGACTGTTGTGCGTGAGGTCGTGGGTTCGAGTCCCAGCCAGACCAACACTCAGGGTCTTAAAATAATTGAGAAGAATTTTCTGCCTTTCTATAACATCAAGAAATGGTTAGATATTGTAGTCTTCTCGGATAGGGACGATTAAACGAAGGTCCCATCTCCTGCATGGTTGGGGTAGGAGACGTTAATTTCCCACACATGAGATTACTGTGTGATGGATGTCCTCACCTGGGGTGGGATGGGTAGGTTTATTGGGCCCGCAGTAATCGGCGCAGGCTGTTGCAGTGTCCCTGCTGGTTGGTGAAGCTACATAAAATAAAAAAAAAAATGAAATGAAAAGCTTGAAATGGGAGGACCTGCTGTTATCAAGCCTTCTAGTAGATCATATCCTGTATGCCAGCTCTAATAATGCCAGTGCCACTTTTTCTGATTTATACTCTATGTAACACTCCAGCTCAGATTTGGTCTTTGGCCCTTGCTCACAACACATTGGAGTATCTTCTGCTAATGACTGTCAAAGTCTTTTCTTGTGTGGCATCAAGCATTTTTTACCTGCAAGGAGTAGGGTGGCATTGGGAAAATTTACCCAGATTTTAAAAATAGTGGGGGTACCCCAAAAATAAATTGGAATTTGAAGCATTATTCTGCAATCCCCCACCCACCTTGATGAATGAATTGAAACAGCTCTTGATCAATAGGGGTGGGTAGATTCTTTGTTATTATAAACTTACTTGATAGGGTTAAAGTCAAATAAGTACTTAATAAACTGTTTATTTAAATTGCAAGAGGTACTTCAGTTAATATGTACTGTCTATGGTAATAATGTTAGGTCTGCAAATTGCAGTTAAATAAGTTGTTAGTGAAAGTGACCTCAGTGACTATGACTTACACTACTCAGAAATAACCTTTAAAGTGCAAACATCTGTCTTTAGGGAGGGAAAGTCTGTGCCTGTTGTGCATACAGAGACATCAGTGGTATCTTTTCCACAGAGAAGGTGGACCAGTCACTTAGAAAAGTTCAACGGCAAACCAGTATTCCCACCACCCCTAAAATGTAAGTAAAGTGTTTTTTTTTTTTCTTTTTTTTGATATGAAGCACTTGTATTGTACTTTAAGTTATCATCTTATATTTATTAATTTTCAACATGGTTTATAAATGTAAATGGTGGTTTTTAAGTAAAAATGTTATTACAATATAGTAGTTATCATAACTACCTTACAGTAAGTTTCCCCAGAGTAAGAACTCTTTTTGTGCTCTTGTTATGAACAAATTTTGTTGAAAACCTCCGATTTTCCTAAAGGTAATTTCTTTCTTATCAATTTTATTTTCAAACAAATGTTTCAAAGCAGTCACTATTAACTAGCTTTTTGAGTGGTTATAACATAATGCAGTGCCCAAGGATTAACTCATTTTGGTTGCCATGGCATTTAAAAAAGATTTGAGAGTTAAAACACCACTGAAATTTGCTAGTGGTGAAGGGTGTTTGGCAGTCATGTAACAAGTTACTGTGTTTTTGTTACACTGTGTGTTTCTTGTGAAATGCTTAATTGAGATAAACATGCATATTAGATATTAGGTAGTACACAACTCGTCCTTTTTTTATGCTCTCTTTTCCTTTTTGTCCTGTTTTGTTGGCAGCTAAAATCGTTTTCATGGCAACCAATTTATGATTTGAGTTAGTCAAATTGAGTCTGATAAAAAGTGGAAGATTGAGCCCATTGATTGCCTGTGCTATGCAGAACCTGTTGGAAATGGTTTTTGTAGGTCACCCAAAGTATGAAATGCTTTCTTTGAGCCTGTTACAAGGCCATACATTCTGTTGTTAGTGTGTAAATAGTCAAATGTCAAAAACCCTTTGCCTTTAGAAATGAATCCCATGTAAAATTGGAAAAAAAAACTTTTCAAAATGTCAATATGAACTTGTCTGGTTCATTGAGATGTGATCAACATAGACTGTGAAATTTTTCTTTTAGTAACATTTGATTGATAATTGGAAAACCTGTTTTAAAATTATGCCTAAGTGTATTGTTTTGCTTTCTCATGTAGTTATGTTGTTACCTTGGTGACTGATGGAGTACGGAGTGTGCGGGGCTTTAATTTTGACAAAGCAGCAGCAAGTGTGCTTACTTCCTGTGTATGTAAAAAATGTTTTGTTATCGATAAAATTCTTTTGTCAGTAGTATGATAGGGTTCATGTTTCATTCTCATTTTGCAAAATTTGATCACGGTGTGGTAGATTATGTATGGTTGTGTGTCCAACAAATGAATACACTACAGACAAATTTATGTTTTTTTATATTGCACTGGCTTTTCTTTACAACTTTTAGTGGGTTTCATTTTGTTTAGTTCCCTCCAACCAGCAGTCATGGTTAAAATTCAACTTGCATTGGCTCAAAACTGAAGATCATTTTCATTCATTGCTGTACAGATTTTCATATTTTTTGCTTCCTCTAAGAATCAGTCACCTGAAGTTTTCTTCAGGGCTCAAAACTAATGCAAGCCAACTAGCCCAAGATTAGTAGAAATTCACTTTTGAATGGTGGTTTTCAATTTCCACTAGCCAGCTTGGCTAGTAAACAAATTGAAATTGTTGTAACATCTGTGTTGTCAGTGGCCACTTGGCTAGTAAGTTGAAAAGTTAGTTTGTTCAGACATTTGAAACTTAAGCAAACTCAACAAGATCAGTGGTGTCTGCTTTGAAATAAAGACCAGAAAAAGTTCTTGCTCTCTCCTTTTCTTCAGTTTA